ATGATGTAATAGCTTTCAGATCATTTTTAAACATTATTTCACTTTATTTGACAAAGTTGATAGCAAATGCATGGAAAGTAAAAGCCTAATATTAGAACTCTGCTACCCAGGGGTTTTTGTTGTGCTGTACATTCAATCACACTCACTTAGGTTCACATTAATAAAACAAGATTTTTATTTTGTCTTTTCAAGACAGGGTCTTGCTCTGCGGTTCACGCTAGCCTGAGCTCACTTTGTAGTGCAGATTCATGTCAAACTCACAACGATTCTCCTGCCGCAATCTCCTGAGTCCTGGGATTACAGGCATGTGCCACTACACTCTGCTCCAAAACAGGATTTTTGTTATACGTTACATTTTTATTACACATTACATATTTTTATTTTTAGTACAAAGCAAAAAATCAAGTTAAATGTTTCCTTATTCCCTCAAACTAATATAACATGATGTTAGTGTTTTTAAAAAGTTTTTTAAAAAGGAGCTTTAAAGATGGACATCAGTGAACTAAAAGAAGACGTGGCAAATAAAAGACATGAGCCTTAGGGAGCAGAGAGGCAAACAGAGCATATAAGTAAATAGAAGATAGAGGCAGAAGAATGTTCCAGAATCGCACAGACAATATTATGTAGATGACTTTACTGAAAAGTTACAGGAGATATCTAGAGAATGCAAATGATACTTTGAACCACTAACAAATTAATTTTGAAACATAATTGATATCAATAAGTATTGGTAGAAACTGTCAAGTTAGTGGGATAGACAGTTGTTAAGTAACAGTGAAAATAAAGTATCTCTTTAAGTTTGAATGATCAAGAAAGATGCTATAGAGAAAGAATTTAGCACAAAAATATTTTTATGTGTGTGTGTGTATGTTGGTTGGTTGGTTGGCTATTTCAGCCTTATGTCTACCTAAAGATAGTCCTTTAAGTTTTATAGTTTGGGAACTAAAAGAACAGCTCTTATTCACTGAAGTGAGCCCTTCAGATCAACTGAATTTAGCAAACTGGATCACTACAGGAAAGCAAAATCTTTTGTTCAGTTCATTTGCTACCATAACACAGGAAAGTAGACTTCAGAAATCTCAGTCTAGTTCAGTCTAATGACTGAAGAAAAAGGTAAAAATCCCTAAATGACAGTTTACAATATAAGAATTCTCACAAAGGAATAATGGAATGTATGAGGAATAATGCTGTCCATTTATGATGGCTTCACTGTTTCAAGCACCTGTATATGAAAGGTTGACTAGATCACTGGACAACATAAATACACTGTTAAAAACTTGACCTCAGTTCATGATCATTTACAGTGCTCTACATATTATCCAAAATGCTATACAAATATTAAATGCCTTTCCCTCCAGAAGTTTTTTTCTAAAAATTCCTACAAAGTGTATTTCTCTTTAAAGCTGACTTAATTTTTTTTTTATTGCAGTACAGGAATCCATCTGAAAAGTTGATTTTATACCTTTGAATGAGGAAGAGAGTGAGGAAACTAAACACAAATGACTGAAATTGAACTTGGAAAAACTTTTAAAACATCTTAATACTATCCCTTAAAAAATGGTCTTCAGGTGAATTAATTCGTTTTGTATATAGCACAATATTTATGGAGCATTTCTCTATTAAGAATCATGAAAGCACAAAGACATGTGATCCTGTTCTTTCTAAAAGACTTTTGCCAATTCTCTCTCACTTCTTCAGTGACACACACAATAACAATACTCTCATATTCAGAGAATTCCAAGGTAAGCATATATACTCATGGCAGTGCATCAGTGTGAAAAATGTAGAACATTACTCATTTCCATTTTAAATATTTCCATCACCAATGCTTTACTGGAATCACTCCCTCACCTTCCAGTGATCTTCAAGTTTATTACAAAAATCCTCTTACACTAGGTGAAGATAAAATTACTTACAACATAATATGAATCATTCATACAAGAATATTAAGGTAAGTTTCAAGCTATGAAAAAATACATGAAAACAAGTATGATGTATTGAGGGCTAATTCAACAGAATGTATACATATGCATATATATATGTATACACATTATAGTATGCATTTGTATACACATTATAGTACCTGTTTTGTGTGAATTTCCATTAACTGTCATTATCATTGACTATAGAGTTGTTTTATTTTAACAAATGATTAAAAGACCTTGTGTTTATATGGAGGATAGCTATTTTAAAAGAATCATCAGCTGAAATGTATATGAAAACATGCTCTCACCTTCATAACTAACAGTCACATTAGCTAAAGGGAAAACATAAAAATAAGCACTTTCTAATGAGATAAAGGACATGCTTTTAAACACTTGACATTTCAAATGCTTTATTAATTTTTTTTTTACTGTATGAGATCTTGGTTGTCCCATTTTTATTTATAAAAATAAATAATGTATCACTGACTGGTTAGAAAATAATTATATAAAAATTCTGTAAATAATGGAAAGGGGGTTGAAAAAGATGTTTCTGAGATTTTAGTGGTCCAATTTCTTCATCATGTGCTCACATAAATACTACATTACAAATACTTTACACATTATGCCAGAATTATACAAAGTAAGCAGAATATCACCAACCAGAAGTTGGTGTTCTGAAGAATAGGTGTTCTGAATGTATTGGTAAAGAAAGTCACTTCATTTGAAAGGTCTCTGCTCCTTCAACCTTACCCTCCTTACCAATATACATTCATCACTGAAAAGGGAAATATTTACAAAACTTAGTTTAGTTATGTTTAAATATTATGTTTAGCTGTCTGGAGACCATGTTCTCAAGATTTATACAAGAAATCAGGATTAAACTTCATAACAATTAGAAAACCACACTGTGTAAAATCAAAGGCTTAGTTAAAGGACATTAAAATAGTTTAGTCATTGGTGCTAAACTGAAATAATGGCATCTCTTCCCAACACCTGGAACCAAAACTTTTTGAACTTTTATGTAAACAAACTAGAGCACACCAAATGCTCTGTGTGCTGCAAGGTACCACCTCTGCACAGGCATTTGGGTGAAAAATGTGGAAAATGCCTGAGAACTCTTTGAAGCAGCTTGAGAGAAGTGAGAGCAGGAAAAAGGTTCTTCTCTAGGGTAAGTTTGTTTAGTACAAAGTAAGCAAGTTGTCAGGGTAAAAGCTGACAATGTTGATTTCAACATTTTGAACTGTGAATAAACATCCAAAAGGATTATGTTACTGAGAATTGGAAAAGATTCCATTGAACCCAATAGAATACTTGTGTTTCCAAAGATAATATGCCTTCAAGCCACAATCTGAATCCACAGTTTAAGGTTAGAATTACCCTAAGACTTTTCTATGCCACATTAAACCAGATTTTTTATATATATATATATATATATATATATATATATATATATATATATTCATTTCTAATCATTTAATTGGATAGATATATATAGACAGATATATAGATATAGATGATGATTTAGAGATGGGATAGATACAATGTATATTTGAGTTAGACTGAAGAAAATTTATGTTCTTCCTAAACACCTAAACCTAAACTCAGTTTGGCTAACCGCTTTAGGGACATACATCCATTGGCCATAAATTACTATTAAATGTTCCTAGCTTAATGATTTATCAAACAGTAAAATGCAGGGCATATGTCTATGAGATACATGACCCCTACTCTTCTTGCCAAAGCCACATTCAAACCTGGCTTTTATCTCATGCTGTTCAGTTTTCCACCAGGTGCAAAATGAAAAGTGGAGCTGGACATGGTGGCTCACACTTGTAACCTCAACATTCACAGTACTGAGGCAGGAGGATTGCTGTGAATTCGATGGCCAGGCTGAATTACCTGGCAAGACCCTGTCTCCAAAAACAACAAAACAAAACAAACAACAACAAAAATGAACAGTGGAGTCTTACAAGCAAAACAATTAGCTACTGCTCAGCAATTCCTGGTGAAATACCAGGAAGCCTATTTAAAAAGTTAAAATTCTTCTGACTTGAAGTTCACAAAAGTAAGTGTGAGATGTTCATGGCCTATCAGATATTCCATCCTTTTCTTTTTTAATGTTCACAAATAAGTGAACTTCTGACTTGCTAAAATTCATTCAGATCAGTAAGCAGATACGCCTTGTATACTGTCAAGAAAATAGGGGTAAGTTGGACTGCTCTTCTTAGATTATTTCCAGTTCTAAATGATTCCCACATTATAGTCTGTGATTTCACATGATCTATTCCGAAGCTTAATAGATGCATGTGCCTCACATGCTCTTTACCAGCAAAGTTTGCAGTCAGTCCTGCAAAAAACGTATCTCTTTGATGAACTGAGAGACTAGATAACAATACGCAATACAGTAACTAGTGTTAACGTGTTAATTCCCTACTTTTTTCTTTTTTTAAATTCTGTATCATTTCTATTCTTTTTTTTCTGTTTGCTTTTTAAAATAAAAAGGGTTAGCTCTGACACACATTTACTTTCTTCATAGAACTACAGATATAAGTATGACTCAGTCTTATAGTCTCTGTACTCTTAAAAAGAAAATCAAATTGCTAGATATTTTCAGACATCATCAGGAATAGAAAGGTCTCAGCCCTTCAGAAGATTCAGTAGCTCTTTTACATTTCATCTTTATATTCACTGGGTTCATAGAAGGGGAATACACAGAAGAAAACAGCTGCTTCTTAAAAGATACCAAATTTAGTTACTCTTTCAAATCTACTGGAACATATAAACATATAAAGTTGCATTTTTTATAAGGCTTCATTGAGTTCTCATTGGTTCTGTCTTTTGAGAAAACATACTAAATCACCTAAAACTCTGAGCTAAAATACATGTATAAACTATAAGAAATATTTGTTATAGGAAAACAAGCATCATTATAATTAAAAATGTGGCATAGTGAGTAATAACAGACATGTGGACTCACCAGGTATCCATATTAGTGTCCCTCAAGCATCAATTTGCTAACTGACAATATTCATCAATGTAATGCTCCAGGATTCTAGCCAACTCCAGAAGCCTTACCTGTTAATATGAGATTACTGTAAGTGTTGGAGAATTGCTCCTTTAGAAGAACCAGATGCATCTGGGCTGCCTTCTCTCTTTGAAGCTCCAGCATTATATCAGGGTGCTGGGCAATCTTGCAGCCTTTCTGTTTATCCAAGGCAACATCACTTCGAACAATGTCTATAAGAAAAGAAAGAAAGAAAGAAAGAAGGCAGGCAGCAAAACCAAAGTCTAAAACAAAATGAAAAACACACCAAAGTTTTATTTCACCCAGAATGACAGATTTTATAAACTATCAGTATTTTCATCAAATTGAAGAAATGCAGACCTAATAATCTTTAAGAGCCTCCAACTATATGACACATCCTGTTAAGTTCCTCTGATTATTTCCAAATTCTCTGAAGACTTCTCTATTCTTTAAGTCCCTCTAACGTCATTAAAGATTTTACTCATATATTCTCCTTCTTAACTCAACTCTACACTTAATTTCTGTGGACTTTTCTCAACATATTTTTATTGTTTTTCATGAGGAATAAGAATATAACTTTGAAAACTAGTTACTGTGGAGCTCATTTCCTCTAACTCATGATGTAAGGCCAGGTAATAGCTCCACCATTTGAATTCTGAATAGTTGGCCTACTTTCAAATTCATCTCCCAGCCAGACCACTCCATCCAAGTTAGGGTTACCAGCCAAGGGGTAACCTGGTCAAACTTCTATTATTTTCATATACCTCTGGGGCAATAACTTCATTCTATCCCAGGAATAACTCTCTTAATTCAGAAAAAAAATGTGAGTCAATGAAGTCAACAAAAAGAGATTCAGAGATCTGTCTCTTCCCTAATTATTTTCCCATTAATGACCGTCACTTTTTATACTTCAGTATTATTTTTCAGTCAAAGCATGTATACTCTCCCCAAAACAGGTTTCCTCAAAGAGAAATAATCATATTTCCCAAAAGCAGAAATATGTTCATTCTACAAATGAAGCAAAATTAAAACAAAATAAGAATGAATTAATTCAATGATACACTCTCATTTTTAAAACTGTCAGAAGACAGGAGTGAATCACTAAACTATACTCTGCATAACTTTTCAAATAGAGCATCTCACTGACTCTTTCCATTGCACCTATTAAAAGATATGGCAGACCATTATTGACTGGCTGACCCAAAGCCAAACACAATTCCTTTTCCTTGATTTCCTCTATTATAGAGATTGAAAGCTATACCACACAATTTACTACTTTTCCGTAAAGCAAAGAATGCCCATTTAACATGATTCTACTCAATAAGTTACAGAAAGACATCTTCTTTGCCAAATTAAAAATCAGAGTCTCACTAAGAGACAACAGTCTTTTCCATTTCTTTTACTCCTTCATGTTCTTTACACGTCAAACTTAAGACATGAAGCCCATAGTTATATTAGTTATTTTGTAGCCATGAGTCAAGAAGCAAGAAGGAAAACGACTAAACACAAAGGTTATTGAACCCAAAACAATGGAAAGAGCCTCAACTCTTTATAGGCTAGTCTTTAATAATTGGCCTGTCTTTCTATACAAGGCAAATATATTATTTATGAATTATGGCTTGAATCTAGATGTTCTCCCAAAGCCTCAAGCACTCATAAGTAGGTTTTTTGGAGCTAGCTAGATCTAGCATGTATAAATATGCTTTAATGGTTCACGATAATTGGATTTCTATACTGATTGGTTTAGTCTCGGTGTGGGTAATAGGAATCTCCACCATGTTTGTGTGTGGCACCAACTAATAGATTTGCAGCCTAGATGGATATAAAGGGAAAATTGGAAGGTAGGTTTGCTGCCTTGTGTCATGCCTGCCATGGACTGTTTCTTTTCTGTCATGCCCCTCTGCCATGCCATCCTGCCTTGGAACCAGATACAACTGAAACTTCTGCAAATTACAAGTTAAAGTAAACCTTTTTTTCCTTTAACTTGTTGGATGTCAGGCATTTTGTCCTGGCAACAGTAACCAAGACATTATGTAAATAGTCAGTTTTTAAAATTCTGTTTTTAAAATTCTATCTGGCTCTTGTAATCCAAAAAACAAAATAATATTAATTTCTCTTTTTTATATCTCATAAAACTGAGACCTGAAAAGTTTAAGTGATTTGCTCATTTTTACACAGCCTAGGCAGTCCCCAAATCCAGAAATTTTTAAAGACAGGTCCAGTGCTATTTCCAGAAATTACTGCCATTTAGAAACTCATAAGCTTAATATTTTTTAATACAATTAAGTTCTCAACTTGCATTCATAAGGTGAATTCATTCATAAGTCTGACAAATTGAGTCTTATACACCTTTGACACAAATACACAAGTAGAGTATAAGAAAACCAAATGCAAAGTCTGTTGGTATCTGTGAAAGTTCACGATTTAAATGTTCCTAAATCAATGATTTACTGTAATGGAACTACATTACATATTGAAAGCAAAGAGTTAAAATATCAAAGCTGAATTTAACTGTTATACTGGTATACCATACAATGTCTACCTGGGAAGAAGTATAAATAATGTTTTCTTCAAAAAGATTATAAAACTTGCATTAAAGCCTACTATAAACAATGAGTTTCAACTATCCTAATGTCTTTGGATAGAAGTCTAATTAGAAGAGTAAAATACCTACTAAACTGTTTTTCATCTCACAATTGTAACTGATATTATCACCATCATTGCAACAGATTCTTGAACCAAAGTGCTCATATTATTACATTAAGAATATAAAGAAAGGACCATAAACAAGGCCAAACATATGTCATAGATTTTAGAAAAGTACCTTTCAAAACTTCTCAGAAAAAACAAACATATTGCATAGAATCTTTGTCCAATCTTTATCTGTTTGAACTTGTATCAATGACTAGCTAAACACAAAGCAAGGATATGTGTCAAAGATGTACATGATCATATACTTGAAGAGAGAATTAGTATCATTGATGATAGACTCAAAATTGGAAATTATCTTGGCAGTCTAAAAAGTTGGGCTCAAATCCACAAGATGAAAGACGAAGACATGATCATGAAGCCCTGCATATATACTGAAACTTAGTTTTTATAAGGTAATATGGGAAGACCAGAACAGACACAAGCTCGTGTATTTAGGATCCTATTAAAAGTTGTATGCTGTAGTTGAATAGAACTTTAATACAAGTCAGTGCTATGACATTGTTGCCAGAAACATTAATGCAATCTTAGTCTAAATCAGTAGAACTAGAACACATACAATACGGATGGCATAACTGCTGCTGCATTTCAAGCCAGCCAACAGCAACTGAAAAGCTTTAAATGCAGATAGACTTCAGTCCAAATTCTGATCCGGTAACTGCTTACTAATCAAAAAATAGCAGATAAAACACTCTCAAGGGGCTGGGAATTCAGCTCAGCGGCATAAGCACCTGCCTTGCAAGAGTGCAGTTGTGAGTTCGATTTCCGGTACCAAAAACAACAACAACAACAAACAAAACAAAACAAAAAAAACACCTCTCAGTACCTTACTTTCTTCATATATGGTTGTTGTAAAGATACTTTGTACTACACATACCATATATTAAGAGTCCAACAAAGAGTGGCTGTTACTAATTTCATTATTAGCATGCTAACTTGTGGTATTATACTTATTTCTAGCTGTATTAATCTCAGAGGTACAGTAATAATCTATAGCACTGATGGTGAACCTTCTAGCACTTCCCAATGATAACTAACAAACAACACACTGCAACACTCGTGCCTTGTGCTCACCAACACTGACCTATAGCATCCTCAAAGAAATTATAAAGATGAGAAATAATGTTGGTTTTAAAAATAACAAAAAAAAATGAGTGGTGAACCTGACAGAGAAAAAACAAAACTTGCTTCACACATAAGATAAAGCTGATTTATGCAGTTTTAATTCAGAAAACAAAACCAAAGATTACCAAATCTTTTAAGAATAATCAAATACAAACATCTCAGTTCCACACAATAAAACTTTGTAAAAACAGAATCGTTAATGGGGAAAAGGGCTACTTGAGAAGAAAGGGATTTTCTTGTCCTGGGAAACATTCAAGCAGAGACTAAGTGATAGAGGCATGATAATATGATTACAACATAGGTATTTAAATCTTCCAGGTACTTTATGTGAGCCAATATATAAGAATACTAAAAAGTTCAGGTTTTGAATTTACAGAGGTATAAATTTGTACTTCACAATGATACAAGTTTGAGTAACAGACAACTGTTGTACAAACAGCAATATCTTTCATTGCCTTAACTGACTTTTAAAAATTAAAATACTACTAGTTTATTTTTAATGAATTTATCACAGTAACAGGAACATACTGGGCATGTTTCGGCTGTTGCTGATATTGTCAGATTATTATAATTATATCAGAAAGTTACTGTTAGAGTATAATATTCTTCTAAGTAATTTTTAACTGAAAGATGTTATGGACTGTTGGAGGATAATATTCTTCTAAACAATTTTTAACTGAAAGATGTTATGGATTCATGGAAATGTGCTTGTCTTGTGTGTTTACAAGACACAATTAAAAGAACAGAGACTCAATGCCAGAAGACTTAGATAAGAATTTTGCATCATCATGAAATTATATACAGACATTTTAAACTGAGCCTTGGTTGTTTTTTTGTTTTTTCCTGACCTAGCTAATTGGGAAAGTGCTGACCACTAGCTCATTCTACTAGCGGTCTCACCTTTACTAATGTTCTTTGCTATTCTAGACTCAAAGTGGTTCTACATTTTAGCCCAAATGCAAATCTAACCAGAAGCCTTTCTTCATCTTGTCCTATGGTCCTTGTCCTGTTACACAGTTTAAGGATCCCAAAACTTTGACATGTACCCTGAGAGATACTACAAGGAAGAGATTATCTTGTACCTAACTCAATGTCCTAGAATAAATGTAGTGTCTATAATTACTTCTGGATATTTAAGTATGGAAGTGTTTGTATTTTTGTTCTTGAGTTAACCCATAGTTAATAACCCACAATTAAGTTGTAGATTTAGTTGAGATAATACTAAAATATGAAACATTTTAGCAGGGAGATCCTGGAGCTTAGGAAACTATGTAAGCTTTACACACAACTTTAGCTGACTAGTAAGCTAGCACATGCAAAGGATATCCAAAACAAGTTAAGTTCTTGACACACAACTGGCTATCTGGAAAACTATTCA